GTGGGCAAAATAGGTCTACAGTTGTGAGTAGGAGAAACGGTTACTCTTGTACTGTTATTTATTTATTAATTATTGTATTATTTATTTGTATTTGTCTTCTTATTATTGTTATTATTTCCTATTTTTACTTATGATTTATCTTTTCAGTAGTGATGGTTGGTAATTTAACCAACAACCAATGAAAGTGGATTCTTAAATAATTCTGGAAGACAGAGAATGCTAAAAAGTTTTGACAGAAATGGGCTGAAGAATCTGATACACCTTTACTAAGTAGACAAGCAATTTACATAATGTGCAAGAAATTTGATGAAACTGGGTCCATCTATAATGCTCCAAAAAGTGGTCAACCTGTCAGTATTACCACCCAGGACAATGAAATGTTAGTGAGTCAGGCATTTACAAAGAGCCACAGAAAAATCAAAACAAAGAGCTACTATTGAGCTAAGCACTTCCTGTAGATCTTTGAGTCATCTAATGCAATGTTTAGATTTGAAAATGTATCTGCTGTGATTGTATCACGGGTTATTAGAGGATGATCCAGATCGCTGCTTACAATTCTGTGAAGGGCTTCTCAATAAAGACAGACAAGGCAATGTCATCATTGATAAAATTACATGGTTTGACAAAGCTCATTTTAAACTTTCAGGTGCTGTAAATAGGCACAAACTGTGTCTGCCATTCAAGAAAAAAAAATCCCCATATAATGATAGAAAGACAGTGAATCAGCTGCAGATAACAGTTCAGGCCTGTCTTTTGTGTAAAGGGCTACTTGGACCTATTTTTTCCCATACAGCTGTTACACATGACCTGTATGTCACCATGCCAAGGGACACCATTTTACTACAGTTACAGAGATGGCATGATAACAATGACTTGTTTTTTCAACAAGACAGAATTCCTCCACATTGTACCATTAATAGTGTTTCTTGATGAACAATGACCCAACAACAGGTGGATAGGTCAACAAGGGCTAGTGGAACGGCTACCACCGTCACCAGACCTCACCCCATGGACTTCTTCTTTCAGTGTGTTGTCAAAGATGAAGTCTTTTCCTAAACACCACACATGCTGGGTGATAGGATCCACTGCCTAAGAGAACCATGTCAAGAAATTGATGGCAGTAAAGAACTCTGTGCCCAAGTGTGCTTGAGTAAAGCAAGTAGACTGCAGGAATGTGTAAATAATGCAGGCTGGCAATTCGAACTCTATGAGACTGTACTTAAGTGCACTGTGCCATTGTGATGTTCTTTTGAGTTAATAAAGCTGCATGATAATCATAACCTGCATGTCCTTTTCCATTTGAACAACTGTAAACCTACTTTTGCCCATGCCTGTATTTATCAGGATTATGTGGAACTTGAGCAAAATTCAGCTGCTACCTTAAACAGTGAAATAAATCACTGGGACAGTCCTTTGAATAAAGCGGTAACTGGCAATAGCAAAAGGCAAGCAGGAAGATTGGGGATTGGAACCAGTGGGGGAGTTGGAGGAGATAAGGCAGCAGAACAGATCCAGTCTCTGGAAGAACAATTTGCATGCAGGCGAACTAAGACATCCATGAGGCTAGGTGGAGAAAGGGTGCAAGGAAGACCACAGCCACACAAAAATGGAGGCAGTGGGATGGGGCTGCCTCCCCCATCATGGGATGTAGCTTTATGGAACTAAAGACAGGAAGACAGCATCTGCTGTTCCATAGAAGATCTTGGGCCTAGCCAGCTGGGGTGCAATTTGTTTCCCACCTGTCAACATGTCTGCTTATATAGATCTGCCCTTTAACAGTTACAAAATCATATACCTATAGGCACAGCTTATGTTAGCAAATCATTTCTCATGGTGAACATTCTGATTTTTCTTGCTTTTTTATTATGTGTAATCACTGCATGTGCTTCCGTGAATGTTTCCTTAGGCCTGATTTGGAAAAGCCGAATTACTAGATCACAGCTATTGCAAATTGTCCTTCAAGTAGCCTGGGCCAATTGATTCTCTCACCAGCAATGTTTGAGATTAACTGCTTCCACTGACATTCTCCAACACATTATTATTATTTTTAACTTTGCAATCAGGTAAGCAAATTCATTTTTTGCCTCAAAGTTGAGGGTGAAGCAAACTGTCTTATTAACGCTATCTGTAGACGACATACAGGGGATGTTATTTTTTAATACTTCCACCTTCACAAAGTACAGTACTCTATTTCTTCTCTCCACTTCTCTACTTCCCTTGTAATCTAAATTATAGAGTCTATCATTCCAACCTGTTTTTCAAGAGCTTTTTGATTTGGGGGCCTTGCAGATAAATCACTGAAAGGTTATCATTGAAAAACTTGAATATTATTTTGTTCATAATCTAGTCATAATACTGTAATCAAGTCTGTATTACATGTTTTAATTGTTTTTTAATGGATGATATAAGAACTTTACCCGAAACAAGAGGTTTCCTTAAGAGGGATCTCCCTGTATTAAAAAAATTTGCAATTTCCTCAGTCTTGGAAAGTGTATGGTCTTTATCACAGGGAGGGTTATCAACAGGAAGGGGGAGAATGAGGGAAAAGATACGGGGAATAAGAAGCAGAAATAGTAGGTAGAATACAGACAGGAGGAGGTTAAGAATAGCATAGGAAATGGAGAAGCCAAAGAACTTGTACGTACATGAACTAAGGGGCAGGAATGATGGTGGGGGGTAGTACAGGGTGAGGAGAATAAAGGGGAGGAAATGGACAACTGTAATCAATAAAATATATTTTTTAAAAAAGAAAGTGTATGGTCTTTAGAGCTGGAAATAACCATTTGCTTAATCATATACCTTGTCTTATATCCCTACTATTTAATCTTTTGTAGCATTATGTTGACAGATGCTCTAAAGTATCACTCATCCATATTTTAATTCTTGTTACAAAACATAATTTGGCACTGTCTATTCTTCTGTCAAATGTTAAGTGATTCTTACTTAATGAATTAATTTCTCAAAGTTAAATTTGATGGCTAACATCATAAAGTGAAAGGCCTCTGTTTTCCATATAATCACCAAATAAGTAAATAATTTTGTTTGGTTCTACTTAGATCTTTATGACCAAAGGTAACAACTACTTCCAAAGGCTTTATCTGGATATGTAAATTTCCTTACTTCAGAACATGTAAATTTTGGTACAGAGATATTAATAAATGTATTTTTTCATAGTTTGGATTTTTCTTCATATTCTATCTTTACATCTCAAATGGAAATATTAAAATTTCAGATCATTTTTTGAATTGCTCTTAAAATATTTTGACACAAAATGAGAGTACTATAAATATAAGAAAAATGTTCATAATAATATTGACTGGTGTTAAATTTCTTTGGTGTTATAATCATTAATCACTATGAATTATATTGTCAATTATGTTGATTAATGTTAACATTCATTTAATTGTAGGCATATAAGCCAAATGTAGTGCAATATACTTCACTGAATTCTGGACTTTAAAAAATAAAAGCTCTCTAACAAACATGTGGGTAACTGGGGAAATTTGAATATGAATTATATGCTATAGAACAGGATTCTATTGATGTTAAATTTCCTTAGCATTATAATTGTGTAGAAGTCTGCCCTTTTTCATAAGATATACATGCTCAAGAATTTGGAGGTGCCATGCGCCCTACAATATGCCTTCAAACAGTTCAGAAAGAAACCATGTATATGTGTGTATGTGTATATGTACTTATATATATATATATACACACACACACACACACACACAGAAAAAGAGAAAGAAAAACTTAAATATAGCAAATAGCTGCAACTAATTGACCTACATGATGGAAATATGGGTACTCATTATACTATTCTTCCCATTTTTATATAGGTTTGAAGCTTTGCACAACAAAAATTGGAGGGAATAGTAACTATTGTTAGCAAGTGTACATTCTATTATGTTTGTGAAAAGCTTAGAGGGACAATACGTTAGATATCTAAGATAATCATTAGGTATGTGATTGAAAATCTTTCAGTAACTTGAAGTAACTATTGAAAACATCACATCAAAGTGATGTTAGAATGAGTGCACTACCTTTGTATATCTCCCAAATTACCATTATAATGTGAATGAATGTTTTACACAGATTTTAAATATTCTCTACTCCAAAAAACTTCACAAGTTTAGAAACACAGTGTTCCTACACTGACCTATGCAAACAACATTCTAAAAATATCCATATGAGCATACAGACCAAACCAGGTCTATATTCAAGCACAGATAAATGCGCATACACAAAAAGAATGTGCAACTCTAAAGACAATTCAAACAATTGCTTCTTGTGTAAAATCAAGTATAAAGATAATTCAAACAAAAGCCTGCATGTGCATGCACTGTCTTTAATACCAACAAGTAGATTTTCCCTAATCACCCAGATGGCAATTTGAAAAGCATCACTGAAATCACATTCACTTTGAGTATGTCCTGCTATGCAGGAAAACACTTATTACAAGCTTGCTGGATGAATAATTGAGAGTCAAATCCAATTGGAATTTACTGTGATTGTATTTCTCTCTTAAACTGCATCACTGTAACTGAACTCAAGTGTTGTGCTGTCCCTGCAAAATTCCGCCTAGGTTTTTCAGCCTTCTTTATTTTTTTATTTTTTATGGGAGTACAGTGGACCTTCTTTTAAAAACACAGAAGCTAAACCTGTGTAGGAATTAGTGAACAAGGAATGAATAAATTTCACAACAAATATTTGATCAGACCAGTCAATTTGGAGGGTTAAAAAAATATTTTAGAAATGCCCCAAATGTGAACATGAGGAGATAAGAGAAAGAAGTGTTTGACTTAACTTCTCTTAATGACCAGTTCCGTTGAATGTTCACTTAAACTCCCACTCACCTCTGATTTGGTAAACTTAAAAAAGCATTTTACATGTCATAAGATTAAATCTGAGTTCTGACGTTAAAGGAACTAAGTAAGGGTGAGAAGAGAGATGGCAGAAAAAGTTAGCAGTTGCAGGGCCTGTTGCCTCCTTTTTCTTACCTTCACTAACCAATCTGCTCCTTCGGTCCTGCAGAAACACAACGATTGACCATACAGAGATGAATAAGACAGCCAGCGCTTTATCCAGAAATGTTTGCAAGCCTTTGGTGAGTGAGTATAGCTTTCACTCCTAAAAACCAAGAAGCTAAGCTGCTTGTTGCATTTCCATTTTCTTTATAAACGATCCAATGGAAAAAGAGTTGTTTTTGCTCATCTGATTTGTTCTAAAGAACAGTGGGAAGTCCCGGAAAGGGGGTTGGCAATAACTGACAAACCCACATCGAGCCACAGAATGGTGTTTCTTCCCCTTTTTCAAAAAATGAAACCTATCTATGAAACTGTCTCTTGTTAAAACAGTTTATTACTACACATTATGTAAGAACGCTGTCAATATAAATTTACTCCTATAACTAAATTCTCTGGGACCCCTCTCCCAAAAAAAAGCCAAAGTCAGATACGACTTAGAAAATTCTTGGTTTCATCACTAAATATAATATTTAAGAAGTATTATTTCTCAATTGTACTCATACATTTTTTGAAATGCAAGTTAAGATGGTTTTCTCTCTCAAATTAGCAAAGGTGAAAAAATTCAGTAATATGTTTTGTGGCCAGGTTTTGGAGAAACAGGCACTCTCATATACTGTTGGTGAAATTGTAAACATTTTTAGAGCAATTTCCCAGTATCTGTCAAAGTTTTTTTAATATTCATACCCCTTAACCCAACAATTTCATTTCTATAAATTTATCCATGTGATACGTTTGCACCTGTGCACATATGAAAATATATTTGTTGCTGCATTAAGGAAGTAAGCAACTGGAAAAAATTCACAGATAGGATATTGGCTAAACAAATGAAAGAATATCCCTATTGTTAGAGTGAGGTAATTTAACATCAAATGATAAAAGATTTCCAATATACATTCTTTAGCAAGAATATAACATGCTCCAATTTGTATTTTTAAAAGCATATATATGGAAGAAATCTATATATTTGCTTATAATTAGAATATTTCTACAGGTATACACAGACAAAAAACTTGAAATAAGCAATTGCCTTTCGAGAATGAATCTTACTTTATACTCTACACTTTTTGAAATTTCTACTATGTGTATGTATTACTTTTTCAACTTAAAAACTTGTGTTATAAGTCATATGTTGCACTGACTGGTATGGCTCAGTGGATCGAGTACCTGCCTGTGAACCAAAGGGTCTCCAGTTCAATTCCCAGTCAGGGCACATGCCTGGGTTGCAGGCCAGGTCCTCAGTATAGGGTGTGTGAGAAGCAACCACACATTGATGGTTCTTTCCCTCTCTTTCTCCCTCCCTTCCCCTCTCTCTGGAAATAAATAAATAAAATCTTTTTTAAAAAGGAAGATTAACTATTATTATTTTTAAGTCTTATTTTATTCCATTTTTATTTTTAATTACAGTTGACATTCAATATACTAGTTTCAAGTTTACAGGATAGTGATTAGACATTTAGATAACTTAAGAAGTGACCCCCTGATATTTCCAGTAACCTTCTGGCACCATACATAATTATTACAATATTATTGACTATATTCTCTAAGCTGTATTTTACATCCCCATGACTATTTTGTAACTACCAATTTGTACTTCTTAACTCCTTCACCTTTTCCACCCAGCCCCGCAAACTCCCCTGCCATCTGGCAACCATCAGTTTGTTCTCTGTGTATATGAATGTGTTTCTGTTTTGTTTGTTCATTTATGTAGTTTTTTAGATTCCACATATAAGTGAAATCATATGATATTTATCCTTTTGTGTCTGACATTACACTTAGCATATTACCCTCTAGGTCCATCCATGTTGTTGCAAATGGTAAGATTTTGTTCTTTTTTATTGCTGAGTAATATTCCATTATATAATAATATGTACTGCTGCTTTTTGATCCACTCATCTATTTATGAGCACTTGTGTTGCTTTCACTTCTGGGTTATTGTAAATCATGCTGCAATGAACATAAGTGTGGCTATATCTTTTCACATTAATGTTTTGGATTTCTTTGAGTAAATACCCAGAAGTGGGATTGCTGGGTCATATGATAGTTCTATTATTAATTTTATGAGGAACCTCCATACTGCTTTCCACAGTGGCTGCACCAGTCTGCATTCCCACCAACAGTGCATGAGGGTTCCCCTTTTCCACATCCTTACCAGCACTTGTTGTGTGTCAATTTATTAATGATAACAATTCTGGCAAGTGTAAGGTGATACCTCATTGTGATTTTAATTTGCATTTCACTGGTGATTAGTGATGTTGAGCACTTTTTTTTATCTATTGGCCATCTGTATGTCCTCTTTGGAGAAATATCTATTCAGATCCTCTTCTCAGTTTTTAATTGGATTGTTTGGTTTTTTGGTGTTAAGTTGTATGAGTTCTTTGTATTTTTTGGATATTAACCCTTTATCATATGTATCATTGGCAAATATGTTCTACCATTCAGTAGGTTGCCTTTTTGTGTTGTGGATGGTTTGCTTTGCTGTGCAAAGACTTTTCAGTTTGATGTAGTTCCATTTGTTTATTTTTGCTTTTGTTTCCCTTGCCCGTGAAGATGTAGTCAAAATATATTAATAAGAGTAATTTCAGAGAGTTAACTGCCTATGTTCTCTTCGAGGAGTTTTATGGTTTCAAGTGTCACATTTAAGTCTTTAATCCATTTTTAGTTTATTCTTGTAGATGATGTAAGAAAATGGTGTAGTTTCAAATTTTTGCCAGTTTTCTCAGTACCATCTATTGAATACACTGTCTTTATCCCATTGTGTATTTTTGCCTCCTTTGTTGTAGGTTAGTTGACTATATTAGGCATGGGTTTATTACTGGGCTGTCTACTATGTTCCATGGATCTATGTGTCTCTTTTTAGTCTAGTACCATGTTGTTTTGATTATAGTAGCCTTATAGTATAGTTTGATATCAGGTAGCACAATACCTCCAACTTTGTTCTTCTTTCTCAAGTTTAGTTTGGCTATTCAGGGTCTTTTGTGGTTCCAAATAAATTTTAGGATTATTTGTTTTAGTTCAGAGAATATACCATTGGTATTTTGATAGTAATTGTATTGCATCTATAGATTGCTTTAGGTTATATGGGCATTTTAACAATGTTAATTTTTCTAATCCATGAGCATGGTGTATGCTTCCATTTATATATTTGTATATTCTGTTTCTTTCTTATGGTTTTCCTAATGCAGGTCCTTCGCCTGCTTGGTTATATTTATTACAAGTTGTAGTTTTTTCATGCAGTTGTAAATGAGATTGTTTTCTTAATTTCTCTTCCTAAGAGTTCATTATTGGCATATAAAAATGCACTCACTTCTGAATATTAATTATTTATCTGCTACTTTACTAAAGTCATTTATAGTTTCAATAGTTTTTTGGTGAAATCTTTAAGGTTCTCTATATACAGTATCAAGTCTTCTGCAAATAATGATAGGTTCACTTACTCCTTTCCATGATGAGTAAAAATGGCACAAGTAGACATCTTTGTGTTGTTCCTGATCTTAAGGAAAATGCTTTTAGCCTTTCACCATTGAGTATGTTAGCTATGGATTTGTCGTGTATGAACTTTATTATATTGAGATATGTTCCCTCTACTCCCACTTTGCTGAGAGTTTTTTATCATAATTAGTTGCTGGATTTTGTCAATTTTTTTCTGCTCCTATTGATATAATCATATGAGTTTCAATCTTCATTCTCTTTATGTAGTATATCATGTTAATTGATTTACAGATATTGAACCAACCTTGTACCCTGGGAACAAATCCCACTTGACTGTGGTGTATGATCTTTTTAATGTATTGTTCAATTTGATTTGCTAATACTTTGTCAAAGATTTTTGCATCTAGGTTCATCAGAGATATTGGCCCATAATATTTTTGGGGGTAATGCTTTTGTCTCATTTTGGAATTAGGATAATTCTGGCCTCATAAAATGAGTTTGGGAGCCTTCTCTCCTCTTCAATCTTTTTTTTTTCTCTTCAATCTTTTTACAACAAGTAATACTTAACTTTATTTGAGTCTCCAGCCCAAATATATTGTAATCTATGTCCTTTTCGGAGGACAGACAAGTCAGTTTTTGTTGCTCAAAAGCAGAAAAATGTTTAGAGTTCTGAGAACTTACCTTGATTGCCTCAAGTAAATCAACAAATAACCTTGCCCAGATAATATCTAATTTTATTCTTTTTCTGCCTAACTGATCAAAGCTAAGTTCAACACCCCAACTCAACATTGTTGATATATTGTTGATACATCAACATTTCCACTTAATGGGTTTGTTTTGTTTACCTTTGTTCTATGACATCTTAAAAAGCTGTATCTGCTCTGTGGTGTGGCACAGTTGGTTGGAGCAATGTCCCTTAGACCTAAAGGCCACAGATTTGATTCCCACTCAGGGCATATACCCAGGTTGTGAGTTTGGTCCCCGGTTGGTGCACATATGAGAAGGCAACCGATCAATGTTTCCCTCTCACATCAATGTCTCTCTCTCTTTCTCTCTTTCTCTCTCTCTCTCCCTCCCTCACCCTTCCTCTCTCTCTAAAAGCAATTAAAATAAATGTCCTCAGGTGAGGATTTTTTTAAAAGCTGTATCTTTAAAGTGTACTAGTATTTTTACTTCTGTTGGAGTCTTTCAGGATTTTCTGTATTATTGCATGGAATATTACTTAGATTCTGTTGAAAAGGCAGATTCCCACTTATAAGCCATAATACAGACAGTTTCTCAATTAGTGCTGAATCTCACTTGACCTGCTACTGTAAGAATAACCAGACTCATTGCCCAAGGAGCAGGTTTATTTGCAGCTATAATCCTATAAAATCAGGCCCAGGTCTGTTTCCAGACTTTTGTAGCCCATCAAGATCTTAGCTGTTAGCTAAAGGTTGTAGCAATTTCAGGGCCAAATATTGTTTTATTTCATTCTCATGTAGGTTCAACCATAGCCAAGTATGTATTGCTATGTAGTATAGTATTCCTGGCTGTAATAAAACAGAATTTTGTTCTTTGTAGCTGAAAACTTACATGATTTTGTATTAATCTGTTGGATACAATTATTGCCTTGATTTCTGTGCCTCTAAATTCATGTAATTCCTATTATTCAATTACCTTTACTGATGTCAAAATTTTTCAAGCTATTTCCATTGTGATGTCACCCATACTTAGCTTACCCCCAATCCTCACTATATTTTCTCTACCCAGTC